AACAGTGTTTAGCTGTTAGTTCAAATCTGCCAGGTCTAGTTTTAATCAACGGTACATGTAGTAACACACACACAATAAGACCTGCTTTTGTCATGAAGGCCGTCTGTTTAAACAAGCTATTGTGTGTGTGTGTGTGTGTGTGTGAGTGTGTATGTGTGTGTATGTGTGAGTGTGTGTGTGTATATGTGTGTGTGTGTGTGTGTGTTCAGAGAGGCTGTGGTTATTCTGGGAACAGACTCCAATCTCTCTCTGTGGAAATATGAAACCAGTCTGTGACATTTTAGAAGCCACTTCCTCCTCTCTGTGTCCGTCTGTGTTTGGAGCTCCTCGTATCTGAGTTTTATATTTATCTGTGTGCCTGCGAGTCCTAATAAGGCCTGGGCCGGTCTGACAGACAGAGCAGGGAGAGGCTGGGAACGGTTCGGACAAAGACGGGCGAGAGTCTGTTCCCACACTCGGCGTCAGGAGCGAACACAAAAGCTTCAGAGTCATTTACACTCAGCTGTGGCCTTGTTGTGTAACAACACCTGCTGGAGAGAAAGCAGTGCTATTGATCTACTGTCTGTCATTCCTGCTTTCATCTTCACAGCCTTTACTGTGGTTTGTTTTGGGGAAAAGAGAAAGAAAATGCTTTTCTGTCCCTTTCTATCCAACTTTTATTTTGCAAGAATATATTGACCGGTACTGCTTATTTATAGCTGATTTTTAAGTGTTCTATAGCCAATAAAAATCTAAATATATATTTATAAATTATAATAATTTGTTTTTTTATTTCTGCTTATATTTTCATATATTTATAGTTAATAAATACACATTTATTATTTTAAATTTACATTTTATGCCTTTTGTCACAATGATAATTATTATTATACTTCAGCAGTAAATTAATTATTAATTGTAATAATTTAGATTTAGATTACAATTATATATATATATATATATATATATATTAATAATATTTTAAAAATAATTTAAATTATTAATAGTTTTGCCTTTTAAATGTATTTACATTTTTAGTTTACATATAACTAAGTTAATTTTTCATTTTTGCTTTCAAGTTTATTTAAAAGTATGTATTATTTGAAATAAACTGTTTTTATGTCTGCTTTTAAATTTTTTTTAAATATTTAACTTACATTTTTATTTTGTTAATAACTACATTTAAATTGTTATTTTTATTTCTAAAACAGAGACAGTGATAGCTATTATTATACTTGAGCAATTAAATAATATGTCATGAATATTTTAATAGTAATAACTTGGATTAAAATGCCAGTGTTAAGCATTTCTGTAACACATTCTACCTGAGAATTAATGGCAGTTGTGTAACATTTTTTGCTCATTAATCTAAGAAAGCAACATCTAGAACACGTTATACACTGTTTACCAGTCAGGACTTCACTTTTACCGTGTTCAGTGCATGTTAGCGTGAGCATCTGTCATTTGAGCCTTGTTTGTTGTTGTAATGTGCAAGCTTAACCAGTTTCCACTCCTGTGTAATCAGACATGCCCAGACACAATATGGAAACGCAGAAGAGTCAATGGGATCCGGTCCGGAGATCGCCGTGGATCGTGAGAGTGGAGCAGAGCCCCGCCTCCTCGGGGGCGGAGTCAGACACCGAGGGCAGCAGCACAGAGAGCGAACGGGTAAATACACGCTTTCCTCTCATAACCAGTCCAGCAGATCAGCTGCACTCATCTCTCCTTCTGTGCTTAACCAGCATCGAGTCAAACAGGGAGGCGGAGTCTCGCTGACATCACCGTCGATGCTGCAGCAGCGAATCACGGAGCTCGACCAGCAGAGGGAGGAGCTAAAGATTGAGGTGAGTTTCCTTAAGGAAAACTATGATGAAAAATATGACACTGCCAACATCATTAAACGCTAACTGTGACTATATTAACATGCAATATCGTTGACGAAAATAGACGAGACTAAAATGTAGTTTATAAGCAAAAATTATCTATTAAATCCCCTAATCAGAGTTTCTCTCTTAAAACAAATTATCTACACTACCAGTCAAAAGTTTTTGAACAGTACGATGTTTAATGTTTAAAGAATTCTCTGCTCATCAAGCCTGCATTTATTTGATCCAAAATACAGCAAAAACAGTAATACTGTGAAATATTTTTACTATTTAAAATACCTGCTTTCTATTTGAATACATTTAAAAACGTAATTTATTCCTGTGATTTTAAAGCAGAATTTTCAGCATCATTCCTGCAGTCTTCAGTGTCACATGATCCTTCAGAAATCATTCTAATATGCTGATTTGCTGTTCAAGAAACATTTTATTATTATTATTATTATCAATATTTAAAAAACTTGAGTAAGGATTCTTTGATGAATGGAAAGATCCAAAGATCAGCATTTATCTGAAATAAAAAGCTTTTGTAACGTTTTACGCTATACTATACTTGGGGGGGAACAAATTATAGAAATTAATACTTTTATTTAGCAAGGATTCTAGTGGTTTTTGGATATTTTAATTAAAAAATCTTACATATTGTGCCTTTAAATGTAAATATCGGCATCGGCCCGATATGAAAAATTATGCCGATATGTCACGCCGATAAGAGGAATAGGTTAACTCACATGTGCTCAGGGTGTGCTAGCGATTAGATCACGTCAGCAGTGTGGCTCATTCTTGAAGCAAAGTTTTGCCTGAATGGTGATTAGATTCACTGCTTTGGATCGCTGCATTTAAACTGAGAATGCAGTACAGAATGCTTTCGGTGTGAGATAGAGTCAACAGTAATAGCACATGCAGCGGCAGCCTCCCCCGGGTCCTAAAGCTCGTTCGGTAACGAGTTTTAATTCCGTAGGGGGTGCTGTTGGCCTACTTTTAATGAAATTAAAGTTAAATACACTAATAACATTTAGACTGTGTTTCTGATTAAATAAAGCGGTAATTGATTTCATAAAATCATGAGTATGTTTTGATTTAAAGGTCAGAAGCTATATCTTACATGAATAAAAAAAACACAAATATGACACTTGTAAATTAAATAATTTTATATATATGACCCTGGACCACAAAATCAGTCATAAGCGTAAATTTTTCGAAATTGAGATTAATGCATCAAAGCTGAATAAATAATCTTTCCATTGATGTATGGTTTGTTAGGATAGGACAATATTTGGCTGAGATACAACTATTTGAAAATCTGGAATCTGAGGGTGCAAAAAAAATCAAAATATTGAGAAAATCATCTTTAAAGTTGTCCAAATGAAGTTCTTAGCAATGCATATTACTAATCAAAAATTAAGTTTTGATATATTTACGGTAGGAAATTTACAAAATATCTTCATGGAACATGATCTTTACTTAATATCCTAATGATTTTTGGCATAAAAGAAAAATCAATAATTTTGACCCATACAATGTATTGTTGGCTATTGCTACAAATATATCCCAGCGACTTAAGACTGCTTTTGTGCTCCAAGGTCACAAATACTGATTTATTCATTAATGTGTAATATGTTATATTTTTAAACAAATTATGAGCTCTAAAAGATTTTCTGAATTTTTTACAACTCTTTTGCTTTAGACCAGTGGTTCCCAAACTTTTTGCAGCATGCACCCCTTTCTAGTGTTTGACACATGTCAAGCACCCCCACCACCGTTCTCCGGTTAAACACCAAATTTTTTACTGCAATACAAGTATAATTACAAGTATTCACTGTATACAGGGCTTGACATTAACTCTTTTGCTCACCAGCCACTGTGGCTAGTGGTTTTCCAAAATTACTAGCCACTCAGCATTTTCACTGGCCACAATTTTGTTGCTGGAAAATTACTGCATATTAAAATTTATTTGAATTGATTTCCAGGTCTTTTTTTTTTTTTGCCTATAAAAAGGGCATTTCCCCCTAACCTTATTAAATGCATGTGTCATCTTTCATATCAAATTCTTACATTTTATTATTAATTTCACTTAATATAATAAGCCTCTATAGGGCTGTTACCAATCAAATGAAATCAATATTAACAAAACCAAATTTTCCACTGCTGGAGAAACAGAAGCAGCTGAAGTGGCATTTAGATGCATTTACACAGACAATTTAATGAAGCTGAAATGTAGCATGAATGCATTAACACTGCAAAATTACAACAGCATAAATAATGCTGTGAGCTTGGTGTTTTACATCAGGTTTTTTTATTTACAAATATGAAAAGTTGTAAAAAATACAAAAAAAAAGTTACTTTTAAATTTGAAAGTAACCCGCCAGCAGGTGGCAGCAAGTCTTATTGAGTGAGTCATTGAGGCATTCAAACGATTCGTTCAAACGGCTGATTCATTCAAGAATGAAGCAAGCGCCTGTCTTTATGAATGGACCACTGAATCATTGACTCAAATTATTAATTCAAAAATGCGAATCATTCAGTAGCCTAACGAAACACCACTGACGCTGTGTGTTGCTCAGAGATGCGCGACAGTTCTGCTGCTAAGTTTGTTTGGAACTATTTTCGTTAAACAAATCGAGCAAAAACAGTCACATTGACATTATTGTACTAAAATATATGCCCTAAGTCACTTAATATTAACTACTCGTTTGAAGTCTTGTTTAAAATCAATGTCGAATTTACAATCGTACTGATTTTCGGGGAAAACTGCACTCTCTTAGTCGTGTCATGTTAATTAATTAGGCTAGGCTTTATGTAATAAATATAAAAACCCAGTTTGGAACCGCTGCCTTTAGACCATCTACAAATGTAAATCTTTAAAATAAAATGTTAAGGTTACTACTGCATCTTTCTGAAAAAAAAAAATGCAGCGATTGATATATAGTTTAGTTAAAAGAACTTTGTTATTTATTTAATTCTAACAAATAAGCTCTTGTTAAAAACGAATCAAAATGAAAACTAATTTGCTTATAATTGGCACACAGGAGAGACTTGGTGTCGTTTCCAAACAAAAGGAAATATATCGGTATCGGCAAAATATCGGCATATCGGATATCGGGGAAAAATCCAATATCGTGCATCCCTAATGATTAGTGTTTGAGCTGAAGACATGCTGTCCTTCAGGAGCGAGTTCAGCTGGAGGAGCAGCGTCTGAAGGTGGAGGAGGTGAAGAGGAGGTGTGAGGAGATGGAGAAACAGATTCCCTCGCAGCCAGAAGACCAGCGAGAGCAGATGCTGCTTCAGCTGCAACAGGTGAACACAAACACTGCTGTTCACAGTTTAATGAGGCAGTCATTAGGTGATTCATTTCATCTGAAACATTGAGTGGCCTGTCATATCGACCAGTGACAGATGAGAGGAGTGTTGTTTTGAAGTTATCAGTCTCATATACTGTATATATATATACACTCCCAGTCAAATTTTTGAACAGTAAGATTTTTTATGTTATTTAAAGAAGTCTCTTCTGCTCACCAAGCCTGCATTTATTTGATCCAGAGCACAGCAAAAGCAGTAATATTGTGAAATATTTTTACTATTTAAAGTAACTACTTTCTATTTGAATATATTTTAAAATATAATTTATTCCTGTGATTTCAAAGCTGAATTTTTAGCATCATTACTCCAGTCACACGATCCATCAGAAATCACTCTAATATTCTGATTCGCTGCTCAAAAAAACACTTATTATTATTATTATTATGTTGAAAAGAGCTGAGTAGATTTTTTCAGGTTTCTTTGATGAATAGAAAGTTCAGAAGAACAGCATTTACCTGAAATAGAAATATTTTGTTACATTATAAATGTCTTTATCATCACTTTTAATCAATTTAAAGCATCCTTGCTAAATAAAAGTATTTAAAAAAAACTAATAATAAATTATACTGACTCCAAGCTGTTGAATAGTAGAGTGTAAAATGTTACAAACGCTTTTTATTTCAGATAAATGTTGATCTTTGTATTCATCAAAGAATCCTGAAAAAATGTACCCAACTGTAAATATTGATGATGATAATAATAATAATCATAAATGTTTCTTGAGCAGCAAATCAGCATATTAGAATGATTTCTGAAGATCATGTGACACTGAAGACTGGAGTAATGATGCTGGAAATACAGCTGCGCATCACAGAAATAAATTACATTTTAACAGATATTCACATAGAAAACAACTATTTTAAATTGTAATAATATTACTGTTTTTACTGTATGTAAAAAATCTTCCCAACCCCAAACTTTTCTGTGTATACATAGAAATGTATTTACATTTTTAATAATAATAATTTATTATTAATAATTATTTTTTTAATTCTGCCTTTCAAATTTATTTACATTTTTTATATTTTATTTTGCTGAAATAAAAGCATGAAAATCCCTATGGACAGATCGGTGCTGCTTGCACTGTCGTGAACGGTGAAAAAAATGTAATAATGAAAACTAATGTAATAATGTGAAGCATCTGTTTGGTTTCCAGGAGAAGGATGCGCTGGAGGTCAAAGTGCGAGCGTTTGAAGACATGGAGTTCCACATTCTGGAGCTGGAGAGCGGAGTGGAAGACGAGCGAGACGGAGAGGACGGAGAAAGAGAAACGATCATCGAAAGAGAGATAACCAGAGTACAGCACACACGCAATGCTTCTCAGGTGAGAGGAAACACTGAACAAACAGTCCAGTTTAACTACAGACAAGATCATTTACGTGTTTTACACTCCTGTCTAGTAGGATTTGTTGAATGCACTTCACTTTATTTGCTTTAAAGTCTATGTTTATTAGTAAATGAGCACATCACTCTACTTTATATACACACATCTGTTCAAATCAAGTCTGACTGACTTCAGGTGTCAGTTTGTTGCAGAATCTTGAAAATTCGGACTTTCTACTAAATGGAATTTAGTGAGTCTTCATTACACATCATTATTTTCCAAATGGGTCACTCTCATTGGCTGACTCTCATTATGTCATCAGTATGTTATGTAGCACTGAGCGGAAGTATTTCTCACGCTGACACGCCAAACACAGTCACATGATGCAGTAAACAAGCTAATTACATTAAAAACAGAGAGAGAGACAGAGACATTGTCTCATTCTCTCTGTGACACACACACACTCACTCACACACTCACACACACACCCACACACACACACACACACACACTAACTCTTTCATGTTGCAGAAAAATGTGTTTAGAAATTGTGTATGGACTCTTGTTCTTGTTCCAAGTTACCTTCCTGTCCACTGATTTTTGCCTCTCACAAAAGCCAAAAAGTAAAGGCTCATGTCATGCTTGAGCTTTAGTTAGGCTGGAACATGAAAGTTAAGTTGCTCGACATAAATGCAATGTTTAGGTATTATTATTATTATTGTTACTATTATTTTGATTTATGCCTTAGTTTTAGGTTGTAATGTTTACCTTTTTTAGAGTAATGTGAAATAGATAAATTTTTTATTATTTTTTTTATTTTATTTATTTTTTATTGATATATTTGTATTTGCATTTTGAATGTAATTTGGCAATTAAATGCATTAAATGGGTTTAGTTTTCACGGTTATTAATGTATGCAATTTCAGCAATATTAATGTAAATTTTTCTAAAAAGGAAACAAATTAGTTTATTTTAAGAGACCTATCTAATTTTCTCTTGTTTATTTAGTATTGCTCTTTAATAAAGAAAAATGACTTCTTATCCAATTAATCGATGGAATAATCGGTAGAATATTCTATTACTAAATTAATCGATAGCTGCAACTCTACACAGAATGTTCTTTACCTTGTGGATAAAGATAAGGATGTTTATATGTAGAAAACAGTAAAGCTTTAGCTGGGTTTTCACAGCCAGGTTCACATTTATTTTATATATATTACATTTAATATTGTAATATTATACATATTAAATATAATATTGTTTGTGTGCATATACATATATATAATATTTTAATAATATACAACATAATTATAAATAAAACATACACACACACATACATAAATAAAATAAAATATATATATAGACAAGCAGAAATATATTAATATTTCTGAATAATATAATATATTTCTGCTTGTATTTATATATTTTTTATTTTGTGTGTGTGTGTGTGTGTTTATATATATATATGCACACATACATTATTTTATTTTCTTCTCTTAGATATTTATACCCTACTTTTTTTTTTTTAAAGAAGTCTCGTCTGCTCACCAGGGCTGCATTTATTTGATCAAAAATACAGTAAAAATTGTGAACTATTATTACTATTTCAAACAGCTGTTTTCTTTGTGAATATCTGTTAAACTGTAATGTATTTCTGTGATGCGCAGCTGTATTTTCAGCATCATTACTCCAGTCTTCAGTGTCACATGATCTTCAGAAATCATTCTAATATGCTGATTTGCTGCTCAAGAAACATTTCTGATTATTATCAATGTTGAAACCAATATTTTTGTGGAAACTGTGATATATTTTATTTTTCAGGATTCACAGATGAATAGAAAGTTCAAAAGAACAGTGTTTATTTGAAACAGAAATCTTTTGTAACAATATGAGGTCTTTACTATCACTTTTGATCAATTTAACACATCTTTTCTTAATTAAACAGTATTAATTTTTTTATAAAATTTTTTGATATTAATACATAAAATCTTATTTGTTAATAATTATTTTATTTCTTAATTAAAAGTGAAAATAAACTAGCAGCATGTTGTCCGTGTCACATTACCGTCAGAACCAATATTTTTGTGGAAACTGTGATATATTTTATTTTTCAGGATTCACAGATGAATAGAAAGTTCAAAAGAACAGCGTTTATTTGAAATAGAAATCTTTTGTAACAATATGAGGTCTTTACTATCACTTTTGATCAATTTAACACATCTTTTCTTAATTAAACAGTATTAATTTTTTTATAAAAAATGTTGATATTAAGACATAAAATCTTATTTGTTAATAATTATTTTATTTCTTAATTAAAAGTGAAAATAAACTAGCAGCAGTTTGTCCGTGTCACATTACCGTCAGCTGTATGTAGTGTGTAGTGTAGATTGAGTGTAATGTAGTTTAGGCACATTGTGTGCGCATCTCATTGGCTCAGCTGCTCCGGATGACAGATCTCTGACCCTGAGTCTCTCTGAGCGCATTATACCTTCAGTGCCACGCAAACCAGACCAGACCGAAGACCACCGCTCAATGTGTGCGTTTGACCGATCTTGTCTCGCAGGAACGAGTCCAGCAGCTGGAGAAGCAGCTGAAGGAAATGGAAAAAGAAAAGGATAAAGCGTTGAGTTCCCTCAGACAGGAGAGAAAGGAGCTGCTGCACAAGTCTCAGAGGGTAAGACGTCTTCACGCTGCTTCTGTTAGATGTTTACATCGTCTGAAAGCGTGGAAACAGTCCATCATCTTCTGTAGATGTGGCTCGTGTTCCTCCTTCAGTGTGTCTGTAGGATTTATTCACCTGTTTTATGGTGCGTCTGAACACCTCAACCAGTGTTAAATAGAACTAAAAATACAAAAAACTTACATTTACAGATATAACATTATAAAATATAAAAAATCAGTTAGTTGCAAAGACAAATTTCCTACTAAAGTACTAAAATTACTAAATAAAAACTGAATTGACAATACAAACACAACATACAACAAAATGGCTAAAACTTGAACAAATTAAAATGGAAAAATAAATCTAAAAATTAAAACTAATGCAAAATATTAGTAAGTACTAAGACAAACAAATTTACTAAAACTTTAACTAAAATTACAATAGAATATATATATATATATATTAAAATGAAAACTAATGCAAAATATTAGTAAGTACTAAGACAAACAAATTTACTAAAACTTTAACTAAAATTACAATAGAATATATATATATATATATTAAAATGAAAACTAATGCAAAATATTAGTAAGTACTAAGACAAACAAATTTACTAAAACTTTACAATAGAAATTACAATAGAAAAATATATTAACACGAAAACTAATGCAAAATATTAGTAATACTAAAACAGTATAGTAACGATACTAAAATAACACTGTCCTGAGCCAGTGTTGTTATCATAACTAAAACTAAAAATACTAAAATAAAACATTTGCATTAATTGCAATAAATTGAATGTTAACAGAAATAAACAGAATATTACAAAACTTAAACTTTATTTTAGTTATGTAAATTTTCCAATTTTTATTTAGTTGAAGTTGAAGTACTAAAATTACTACAACTAAAACAGAAATAAAAGCAATAAAAATGACTAAAACACACAACAAAATTACTAAAACTTTAACTAAAAATTTAAATAGAAAGACAAAAATACAAATTATTAATAAATACTAAGATAGTATAGTAATGATAATTAGATCACACAGCCAGTGTTATTATCATTAACTAAAGCTATAAATACTAAACAACATTTATGTAAATTGAAATGAAACAGAAATTTAATAGAATATAACAACTTAAACTTATTTTATTTCAGTTAGTTATAATTTTCATTTAGTTCAAGTTGAAGTGCTAAAAACTCTAAAATGGAAATAAAAATGTATAAAAATTAAATAGACATTAAAAACTAAGAAAATTACTAGAACTTTAACTAAAATTTTAACAACTGAAAATACTAAAATATATAACAAAATAATGCAAAATATAATTAAATAAGCAAAACTGAAAATACTAAAATATATAAAATAATGCAAAATATAAATAAATGATAAAAACGGAAAATACTAAAATATATAACAAAATAATGCAAAATATAAATAAATAATAAAAACTGAAAATACTAAAATATATAACAAAATAATGCAAAATATAAATAAATAATAGTAAAATAATAAATAATATAAAACGCAAGCCCATGCTAATTTCACTGTATTTTGACTCTAAGTTTGGTGAACTCTGACCTGCGAATGTGAAAACATGTGACCGACAGCAGACTGATGACCTCTTAGCTGAAGTCAAAGAATGCAAAAGAATTGCAGCGTTGCAGTAAAGTGGAGTAGATTGTGTTCTTTGCCCTTCTGGATGTGTTATATATTGAGCTGTGTTTTTAAAGCACTGCGAGCGTTGCAGGATCCCTTGCTTTAGTGCTGGAGGCTTTTATCAGCGTTCTGTTACAGCGATTAGAGATACACTCGAGTGCAGGAAAGAATTAGTGATGAAATAAGGAAGAGAAGGAGAGAGAGAGCGAGAGAGACTGATTCTCAGAGAAGCGCCGGAGCAGAACAACAGCAGATACCCTGAGAAAACTCTACACACGAGCGGTGAGAGTGTGTGTTTCTGCTCTGTTAAATCACACTCATGATCAGGACAGACGCAGGCATAGGCGGAGGGTGAACCGACTCCAGGGTAAGGCTAAAAGCAGACAATTGTATTAAACATCATAAACCCGGTCTTTATAGGCTAGAACCAGACATGGGTGTCATGTAGGCAAAAAAAATGTTTAATGGGACTGAATTTGTATTTAACGTGATTACAATTTAATTAAAACGTTAGAAATTGATAATTATATAACGTTTCCTTTCCACTGCTATTCAAACAGCGAATAAATTATATATTTCACTAACATTGATCTATCGCGAGTTTAAGCACTCTCAAAAAAACAAAACTATCGTTATAATCGCTGAAGCTGTATACACTGTTTAATTAATCTCTTACTTACATTGTACGTACATCTGCGCTTTGTTGTTTATAATGAGAGAATTCGCAAGAATTCAGTCAGCGAACGCGCGCACACTCAACAAAACTGATGAGTTTGAACGATGACTCATCTGAACGCCTCTGATTGGCCATTGCATTCCTAAGCTCAACAGATATGTGTGTGATTGGTTAAAATGCGCAACACTGTAAAAACGCCTAAAATGAAATACGGTGCAACATGAGCAGATCTTAATTTAATGCCGAAATGGACACTGTCTATTCATATTCACTTTGTTAGCAACAGACGTAATAGATTTAATTTGTTTGTGCAGGGGCATTTTTGTCCAATTTAGTGCAATTTTTGCCCCAAGTCCCCGTGGCTACACACGCTCCGGCTATGGTCATGTAAGTTGCCTCCAATCAAGTATACAAGTATTTTACATAACAGAAATCAGTTTTTTGGGGTGAACTATAGTATCACTATAGTATAGTATCACATCCACCCCCCGGCAACACTGAAAAGAAAATGCAACAACATTAGACCTAGTGACAAAAACTGAAGCGTATATTATGACTACAACACTGTGGTCATAAAGGGACGGTATGGTATGTATGGTGTGTGTGATTGGTTCAAATGCGCAACACTGTAAAAACGCCTAAAATGAAATAACGGTGCAACATGAGCAGATCTTAATTTAATGCCGCAATCGACACTGTCTATTCATATTCACTTTGTTAGCAACAGACGTAACAGATTTAATTTGTTTGTGCAGGGGCATTTTTGTCCAATTTAGTGGCATTTTTGCCCCAAGTCCCCGTGGCTAGGGGAAGGTACACACGCTCCGCCTATGGACGCAGGGAACGAACGTGTGCAGGGCTTTTCACTGGAGACAGACGCGGTTGAGAGCACAGCAGCTGCTAACGGTGTTGAACTGAATTAGGGCTGATTTAGTGTCTGTAGCAGATAAAGACAGTGTGTGTTCCTCGCAGACGCTCATGTGTGTGTGAGTCAGAGAGAGAAGGGACGTTTAACTCCGTCATGTTCACACAGCTGCAGAACTGCTCAACTATTCTTACTAGTGCTGTTCTGTCAGGGATCACTAGGACTAGTGCTCATAGTGACACTAAACGGTGAGTGTGTGTGTGTGTGTGTGAGTGAGTGAGTGAGTGAGTGAGTGAGTGAGTGTGTGTGTGTGTGTGTGTGTGTGTGAGTGTGAGTGAGTGAGTGAGTGTGCGCGTTTTTGTGACAAATGAGGACATAAATTTGTATAATGACAAGGGTATG